CTCCTGAGTGTCAGTAAAGAGTTACTTGGGGTGATGGTATGCAGAAACAGAAATCAATTACTTCTGCCAAGATAAATGGGAAAGGACAAGCTGATAGAAATTGAAAAATTAGACCTTTTTCTTAGCAAATACTCTTGAACAAAAATGAGTCGGTTCTTTTCCCTAATAGCTACAAGAATGCAGCTGATGATAAGGTAAATTCAAAAAAGAACTGGGAAGAAGGAAGGCTGCTTTTCTGTGTAAGCAGAGAACATAGTGAATGTGCAGCAGAGCAGTTTATTTCTCCCATCCAGAAATGGAAGCTAGCAGAGTTGAAAAGACCTTACAGAATTAGTATTGAAAGACTAAAGTATTTATATTAGGCCATAATTCTTTGTCTCGTACTGATTTGTACTCTACTCGTGTGGTGTACCTCTCAGGGAAGGGGCAAGTAAAGCATGTAGTCTAAATGTATAATTGGGACTATACTAAAATGGTTTGGAAACGTGAAGCTGCTCAAGCGTTGTTCAGGTTTTGGCCCGTGTAAGTCAGCAAGAGTGGAGTTTACCACTATCATATGGCAAGAGTTTTCTGGGGGAACTAGAGAAGGCAATAACTATGACTTGTAGCTTAGATGTCAATAGTGTTGTCACAGTGGATTCTACATTCTGCCCTTTTTTTCCCGGTAAAGTGGGGCCCAGTAGTCCCTGGTTCTCTTTTGATGAGTAAATTTAACAGATGGTTCAGGGTGGATAAGGATGAGATGGACGAGGGTCTGTCCTTCACATTCCCATGAGCACAAGGCATTTAGGATCACGGCTACCCCCAAAAATGCAGTCTTGGGCAAAAAAGCCCAAGAGTAGAACCTGTGTGGACAAAACGTCTTGAAGAGCTAGATTTTTGCAGCAAGGGAAGTAACAGTTCTTTCTGTTTATTAGAAACCAAGCTGCCTTTGAGGCAAGGATTTTCTGGGGAAAGGAAGTAAAGTGAAAATCGGAGGATTGTGTGAGGAAGCAGAATACAGAGGGTAAATTCCAAAAAGTGCACAAGGGCTGGTTTTTAGCTGTCAGCATGTATGGGATGTGTAGATAGTAGCTGTAGATAGCTTTTTTAACATTGTACTGCTGCTAGTTTACCTTTATTACTATATGTAAAGTTCAGTGCAGATGTGTGGCCAAAAGACAATACTGGAAACTTTCAGGCACTTTTCAGATCTAATGGGCAACAAAATACGTTTAATGAAATGGTGTGAACGCACGACAGTCTTTCAGTTTTGTTGCACAGTTTAATATGCAGTCAACAGGAAAGTACAAATGAATAAATGCTACTTCTCCAAAGCACAGAGGAACTCATTAACCTTTACAGAAGAAGTGAAAATAAGTTTGCTTTCAAAGGCAAGAAGATGACTCTTATGTCACATAAATACATGGACATACACCAAGAAAGTAAGGGATATTTTACCAATATTAGACATAAACATGAATCAAAATATGCTGGCAATGTTTTATTTAACTGAAAAATTACAAGCAATATGGTTAATATTAATACAGTTCCTGAGGCCAAGATAATCTATCTACATCCTCAGCTGCAGCAGGTATTAAGCCAACAGAGATTGCTGAGGTGAACGTCACTGGATTGTCCTGGCAACCAGCTGCATTTGCCAGTCCTGTTGCACTGGACTGGTGAGACTCAAAGGGATCAAGTGCTTCCGGCGGAAAGTCCTTGGTGCTTTCTTCTGTCATAGCGCTCTTATGTATGTGGTATATACCCATGGCTCTTGGCCCAGTGAGTGTTTTGCTACATGGTTCAGTATGCCAAGAAGATTGCACTCGTCATGACGTGCTGCATTTTGCTTTTGTGCAATGGCTGGGATGGCTGACCAATATTCTGGAATCTTTTAAGGCTACATTGAGGCTTGTAACCTCATTAGAAAGTAGATGATCCAGCAGGATCATACCAGGAATCCAGACACAGACAATGCAACTGCTACTGCCATTATAATTTACTAATCTGACAAAAACACGCTATATTAATGAAAGGCCTGGTTTTCAAGTTGTTCATTGTATCTACATAAGGGTTGCATGCATAGCTATAGAGAAGTTGCTAAGATCCTCTTGTACAGATGAGCTTTAATAACAGTGTGTCTACTTCTTCCCTGATAGAAGCAGTTTAATGCAGACCAGTAGCAAGCAGAGCTTCATTCTCCAGCTATGACCAGTCACCTCTCTTCGTCAGCATCCTGGGGGACAACTCAAATTGCCCATGGGTTTCTTCATTTGCTCATTTGGTGGGAGAAAATAAAGCGCAAAGATCATGTTTGTTGAGAATTACAGTTGTAATACAAGGCATCTGATTGCAGCCTGATTGCAAAAAGGGTAAAAAAAGAGGAGCAGGAGATCTTTGGCTTTTACACCCTCCCTGTACATACATGACCGCACCAGAGAAATTATAAATCTAAAGTTTGGTGACCATTTATTACTCTGGGGTCATATGACTGTCTAATGTGAAAGCCTTTCCTGGAAATTTGAAAAATCTATACCATATTCTCCATGTGTGCTAGTTCAGAAGTTTCTATGCATTTCTCTTTCTTTTTAAGGGGACAGACATCCTAGAAAGTTTTAGCTTGTCTTTGGTCAAGTGCAGTGTGATTGAGTGTCATACAGAAAGTACATAACATAGCCAGTTCTTGCAGCATGCAATTTTGGCAATTACAGGTCTCTTGCTTTCAAGTTCAGACCTGTCCTGTATTGGTGGTTTTTAACGGATCAGCAGCCAGCCCCTCCAGTGTACCCTCGTTGGGTATAGAGCCAGATTTGAAAAATGGAATTTGTAAGCATGTTTAGCATGAGTGATGAAGCTTCCACCTATATAATATAGTACTCTATGAACCTCTGTTTCCTGCTCTTATTTTCATGCAATAATTAAAATCTGATACCACTGTCTGACTGTGTCTATGAAGAAAGAATACTGCTTTCACAGGGAGGAAAAATGGGAGGACTTTCTGAAAACTAAGGATAGGTTTCCGAGAGGGCTCATCTATCCTTTAAGTATCTATAAATTAGTGTCAAAGTTCAATAGTTCCAGCTCTGGCTGCTGAGCAGTTCCAACGATGTGGCCTTATGTAGTACTGGAAGTAAATTAATGTTTCTACTTAGTCAATGTTAACTTCCTCGTGAGCTTTTGAAATGGCTAGTAACATATTTAATGCTGATACTACTGAAAAATGTGTGGGATCAAGTAAAGCTTTTTGAACTCTAAGCACTTGACTTCTTTATAGTAATTAATCTTTATAGAAATTACTTTTCTCAGCCATGAATGTGTATGTCAGTTCCATTCAACTGTAGCACCACACAGTCTTTTGAAAGGATGTTGCCCCAGGATAGAGAGTTGCAGAGTACAGAGTTTCTAAAAATCATTAGCCTCAAGCTTTAGCTTACCAGTTCTGCAAAAAATTTAGTCAGCCGTTGTGTTCTACATCTCTGGCGCTTACTAACTATAAAGTGGCATTTTGTGTATTTTCCTGTGTATTCTTCTTCCTGTCACTAAACAAGTCCACAGAATTTTTTCCTTAAAGGTGTGTATTGGAAATGACACATGTAAGGCAGCTTTTTAGGTTAAAGTACCTCTCTAAATTTCTAAATACAGATATCAACTAAATTTATAAAAACAGATATATTGATTATAATCTTTCACAGCGATTACAGATATTTATTACCTTCCAAAAAGTATCTAATTGTACTAATCTGTATAAATATTTTTATTACAAAAGAAACATTTCTAAAAACCTATGTCTTATTATTTATCACTGTATATGGACTTTGTTAGGCAAGTAAATCTACCTTGTATTTAAAAGTTCTTTTTGTTTGAAGGTGTTTGTATTTGTGTATTTAATGACAAAGAACTGGGTCCTTTACTAATAGCAGTTAATAACTGTTTTATGAAAATAGTTTTCTTCTGTAACTACTTTTAATTTTAACGAATGTTGTACAGTTTTATCTGCTTCCTGCTGTGAGATATCAGGCCTTGTGGATAAATTCGTTGATCTGCATGTAATCTTTAAGTAATAATCTGGCAAGTAAACAATAACAAAAAAGGCTAAGTAAACAGTAACTGCTCAATATATGTAGCCTAATTTATGTGTATCACAATTCTTTGTTTTCTATTACTGCTAGTGTTCTGGCAACCTGTAAAAACTAGCATCGTGGAGTCTGCTGTCTTCTGTATCCTTCAAGGAACGTGGGCTTCACACATTTTCTCATATTGTCATCATGTTAGAAGCAGATGGCACGTAAATCTCTATATCTACCAAGTTCTTTTGCTTTCTCATAAGACTGCCAGAAGGAAACTAAAGGTGATCGTCATTATACCCATTGACCGATATGAAATAATATGGACTCTAAGCAGAAATTCCTAGGTTGCCTGGATTGTGTTTTATGAGGAATTATTTCATTACAGGTACATAAATAAGTGATGTGAGGTAGAAGCCTGTTGTAAAACATAGTCACTTTTTGCAGGTTAATTTTAGAACTGCTGGTAGAACTGTTGGTAGGGAAAATGGTTAGTCTTTGTAACAGGACGTAGTCAAATGGTTTTGTCCATTTTATGACAGATTCTTGTACATTACATTCCAGGGAACAGTTTGTTTCTTTCTTAAAGAAAGGGAAAGTAAGTAGGGAAGATGAAAACAAAGGTGCCAACACTTTCTACTCTGGTTGATACTCAACTGTATGTACTTCCTCTTGGTAGATCTATGAAGGATGCAAGATGCTCAGACTTGAGTATAGTGTATTAATCTGACCACAGGAAATGAAAAACTTAAAACAAAAGGACATTCAGATTTGTTGAGGCATTTCAAGAACCAGTTCTGTAAACTAAGCAGGAATAATTTTCAGCAACTGCTAATGAATGCATGTGATTTTTTTTAATGATTTTAGCTTTAAGAAAGTTAAGCATGTACAGGAAATTAAGAGGGAGCATGAAGAAATTGAATTGGTATGTTCAGAGTTTAAGATTTCGTGTTATCATGGTGAATAAGGTGGTGGTGACTGATCTGCAGCAATTTTGTCATAAGCTGGTGGAGCATCAGGTACCTATGGTAAGGAAAATGGGTGTGAAAGATGATTGAAAAAACAACTGAGGTGCAAGAAAATGACCGTAAAGATGCAGCCGAGCTATTTACATTCATATCAGACATGGTACTACAGCTTAAAATAGTTGAACTCATTCATAATGTCTTTATTTTTTTAAGGTTAGTTTTTGCTAGTATGTTTTTTGGTTTTGCATAAGATTAAATTAATTTTGTTTGTATCATTCATCCAAAGAGAAAATTTTCAGTGTTATAAGAACAGGAATTTTAAAGAAAAGGAAAATTTTTTTTATATTGAGAATTCAGACTAATATTGAAACTTTTCTTTAAGAGTCTTGATGCAGGTACATTGTCTTATTTCCAATGTTAACAATTTGGGCAGCTTATTTAAAATTGGTTGTAAATTAGCCTTTTTCCTATTCTAAAACTATTTAAACACACCCATAACTTGACATATATTTATCAATTAACTTATTTTAACTTTTTTAAAATAATACATTTGAATGTTCATCTTTCCATAATGATTAGAGGAGCTACAACCTTGAAGTTTTATAACGTTCCCTGACAATCCTTGTGAGGGTATAATATACCAGACACAGTCGTTTGTTGTTTGTCAGAAGAGTGGAACATCTATTAGGGAGATGTTTGTTTATTCAGTATATTTCAGCATTCAGGTATTACATCATTCTAATAGATTGCATAATAATCATACAACTTAAGAATAAAGGTAGGTGAAAGAAGAGAATTTTTTAAAAGAAGAATTCTTAATAGTAGATTTTAAAAACCCTTTTCACAGTAAAAATTGTGCAAAATACTACTTTTTAAGTTAATGGAGAGGTATTGAAGACCCAATCTAGAGAGCACACCCCAAGAAAGAAATCATCGAGTGACTGTTTACCATGATTGTCTCACCATGTCTTACTATGTTGTAAGTAAATGAAAACTTGAGTTGCAACTTACCACAGAATTAAAGTTTCTGTGCTCCTGCAGAGCCATTTTGCAGTCCAGTATTGTCCCCTCACATACCACGGTTCGTATTGTGCCCACACTAGAGCTTTTGCTCTGTGACACATCATAAAGAAATACGGGGAAGATGAAAGGAAGAAGAGAATGTGAAGTTGGAGTAAATTATGCATCATTTAATATTTGACAGCACATTTACAGTATGTATTAGAATCTGGGATTAGGGCCAGACACGATGCCAGCAGGTAAGAGAGGTAATTACCTATCACTTTTTGCTGTCTCTGCTGAGACATACTCTTTC